AACCCCGTCTTATTTTAAAATAATAAATAAATACATAAAGATCACCATCACATATACAATAATAATGAAAAAGGGCCTGGCATGATGGCTCATGCCTGTAATCTGAGTACTTTGGGAGGATGAGGTGGGTGGATCACTTGAGGTCAGGAGTTCAAGACCAGGTTTGCCAACATGGCAAAACCCTGCCTCTACTAAAAAATACAAAAATTATGCCGGGTGTGGTGGCTCACACCTGTAATCACAGCACTTTGGGAGGCTGAGGCAGGTGGATCACCTGAGGTCAGGAATTCGAGACCAGCCTGGCCAACATAGTGGAATCTCGTCTACTAAAAATGCAAAAATAAGTGGGGCATGGTGGTGGGTACCTGTAATCCCAGCTACTTGCAGGAGAGTCACTTGAACCCAGGGGGTGGAGGTTGCAGTGAGCTGAGATTGTGCCATTGCACTCCAGCCTGGGTCACAGAGCAAGACTCTTGTCTTAAAAAAAAAAATTGGCCGGGTATGGTAGTGCACACCTATAGTCCCAGCTACTCGGGTGGCTGAGGCAGAAGAATCACTTGAACCTGGGAGGCGGATGTGGAGGCTGCCGTGAGTCAAGGCTGCACCACTCACTGCACTTCAGCCTGGGCGACAGAGTGAAACGCCATCTCAAAGAGAAATAATAATAATGAAAAAGTTTGAAATCTTGCAAGAATTACCAAAATGTGACATAGAGACATAAAGTGAGCACACGCTACTGGGAAAACGGTGCACTTACTCGACGCAGAGGTGCTACATGCCTTTCGTTTGTTTAAAAAAAAAAAAAAATGTACTATCTGTGAGGTGCAGTAAAGCAAAGCACCCTAGATGAGGTGTGCCTGTAGATGCCGCAGAGACCATGACCAAATGGCTTCTAAGGCCTGAAATGTTGACTGCTCGGCTTTTTACAGAAGCAGCTTGTCGACCCCTCGTCTAAACAAGGAAAAAGTGAATCTCGGCCCAGACATTCCTGCCATTGTTTTTAATGTGGGAGGAGTGGTTGGTTGTTGCTGTGCTGGGTTTTGTGGCCAGCATTCTGTATTTCCTAGATCTGTTGCCTGTGGAGGATCAGAGGATCAGGAGAAACAAGTCTTTGTCTTTCACATAGTCTTCAAGGGAACAGGAAAACAATTTCACTTTTAATTAACTCAGTCTAATTTAGAATTAACTCTTGTATTGTTAAGGAATTACATGCTTTAGGAGTTAGTACATTCATGGGTTTTGTACTTGGCACATGTGATTTCTTTTTTTTTTTTTTTTTT